ATTATATCCATAATATAAAAGTATGCAGTGAAGCAAGTGCTAATGTAGAAGCTGCAGCAAGTTACTTAGAAGATCTAGCTAAAATAATTGATCTGGCTACACTAAACAACAGATTTTCAGTGAAAGTAAAACAGCCTTCTTTTGGAAGAGGATGCCCTCTAGGACTTCCACAGCTAAGAGATGAAGTCAATTCCTGGTTTCAAAGGACAGGATGAAATTTTCATTAGGGGATAGTACAGCTGGTGACTTCAAGTTGACGCCAATGATCATTTATCATTCCAAAATTCTATGCTTAAGAATTATGCTAAATCTCCTCTGCCTGTCCTCTATAATGGAACAACAAAGCTTGGATGATAGTACATCTACTTATAGCATGGCCTACTGAATATTTCAAGTTCATTATTGAGACCTACTGCTCGGGAAAAAAAAGACTCCTTTCAAAATATTACTGCTCATTGACATGTACCTGGTCATTCAACAGCTCTGACAGAGATGTACAAGATTGTTTTCATGCCTGCTAAAATAAAACCCATTCTGCAGTTCATGGGTCAAGAAGTCATTTCTTTTTTCAAGTCTTATTTAAGATATACATTTCATAAGGAATAGCTGTCATAGACAGTGATTCCTCTGACAGATCTGGGCAAAGAAAACTCAAAACCTTCTGGAAAGGATTCATCATTCTAGATGCCATCAAGATCATAGTTCTGGGAGAAGGTAAAAATATCAACATGAACAGGAGTCTGGAAGAAGCTAATTCCAACTCTTATGAATGACCTGGAAGGATTCAAGACTTCAATGAAGAAAGTTACTGTACACATATATGCTATAATATGGTAAAAAACAGCAAGAGATTTAGAATCAGAAGTGGAGCCTGAAGATGTGACTCCATTCCTACAATCTCATGATAAAAATGTACCTAATGAGAAGTTGCTTTTATGGATGGGCAAAGAAAGTGCTTTCTTGAGAAGAAAACTACTCCTGCAGAAGATGTTGTGAACATTGTTGAAATGACAACAAAAGATGCAGAATATGACATAAACGTACTTAATACAGCAGTGGCAGGATTTGAGAGAATAGATTCCAGTTTTGAAAGAAGGCCTACTGTAGGTAAAATGCTATCACACAGCATCACATGCTACAGAAATATTTCATGAAAGGGAGAGTCAATTGATGTGGCAAACTTCAATGCTGTCTTATTTTAAGAAATTGCCATGGTCACCCCAACATCCAGCAACCACCACCTGATCAGTCAGCAGCCATCAACACTGTGGCAAGACCCTCCACCAGCAAAAAGACTACAACTTGCTGAAAGCTCAGATGATCATTAGCATTATTTAGCAATGAAGTATTTTTAACTAAGGTATGTACTATTTAGACATAATACTATTGCACACTTAGTAGAGTATAGTATAGCATAAACATGGCATTTTTTTGGTAACAGGGTCTTGCTCTGTTGCCCAGGCTGGAGTGCAGTGGTGAGATCATAGTCCACTGCAGCCTCAAACTCCTGGACTCAAGTGATTCTCCTACCTCAGCCTTCAGTCTTCAGAAGTAGCTGGAACTACAAGCACATGTTACCACACCAAGCTAATAAACATAACTTTTACATGTACTGGGAACCTAAAAAATGTGTATGACTTGCCCTATTGTGACATTCACAGTCACATTATTGCAGCGATTTGGAACTGAACCCACAATATTACCAACGTAGGGTTAGGCTGTGTAAGAATCACCTGGAAGACTTATTAAAACTGCTTGCTGGGCTCCCATCCTTAAGATTCTGACTCAGTAAATCTGGGTTGGAGCTCAAGAATTTTCAATTATAACAAGCTCACAGCTGAGGCTGATGATGTCATTCAATGTACCACCAAGCAGTACTGGCATAGAGTACCCTGGAATAAAATTTACCTACTTGCATTTCATGGCAGTGAGATGTTTATTTTTAACTTTCTTCTTTTTATTTTTTTTAGGCGTTGCTTAAAAAGTTTTAATAATGAGTTTTCCATCTTTACCCAAACAATAAAATCATTATTCTAAAGAAAGTTAAGAGAAACATTAATATTTTTATAACTAAAATTTGTATAAAGGTTTTCCCTGGGATCTTTAATTTTTTCTTTCTTCCTCTGAAAAGCCAAATTATGTTTTATAAAACTCATACTCTCAAAAAGAGTAACAAGTTTTTCTTTGGCAAATTCGGCTGTGACAAAAGAAACTGATTTTGCTATGGATGCTTTTCTTTCTTACCAGATTCAAATAGTTTAATATTTAACACTAACATATTAGTCCTATTATCAGTCTATCAGAAATGTATGAAAATGCAAGAAAAACCCATGTCTACTATAAGGACCAAAATAGCCCTAATTCAATGTCACTTTAAAAACATGAGGACAATATTATTATGTAATACTTTTAAGTGCAATAACCACTGATTACATTTGAAACCTCAGCATACTTCAGTATGTATTTTGGACTACTATCACTTCATTAGTAAATTACTCCCAAATACTTTAATATATTTCTACAAATCAGCCCAATGCCACAAACCCAGATCTATGAAACAACAGTACGAGTCAGACTCACAGAACAAGCACTAGATGTTGTGCAAACTGAGAATAAAGATTCTACCTAAAAAGTATTTGGGTAAAAATAAGTGGATATTATCAGAGTTAGAGTTTGGTAAATAGGTAACAGAAAAATTCATTGTTAGAAATAGGTCACCAGGCACAATGGCTCACGCCTGTAATGCCAGCACTTTGAGAGGCAAAGGCAAGAGGATTGCCTGAGCCCAGGGGTTTGAGACTAGCCTGGGCAACTTGGCGAGACCTTGTCTCTATAATAAATAAACAAATTAAAATTAGCTGGCAGGGTGGTGCATGCCTGTAGTTCCAACTTCTTGGAGGGCTGAAGTAGAAGAATTGCCTGAGTCCAGCAGGTCAAAGCTGCAGTGGCCATGAGTGTGCCACTGCACTCTAGCCTAAGCAACAGAGTGAGACTCCAATTCAAAATAAAAATAAAAATAAAAACATTTTAAAAAACAGGCCAGCTCTGTGTAGCTTTCTATAGGAAGTTTAGACGTAATTCTATTCAGAGACAAAAATTTTAGTGATAATCATTATCTCCACACTAAGCAAAAAGGACCAGTAGTCTTAATTTAACTGTCTATTCTCTGTTACCTCAATGACAACATTTACCAGAAAAAAAAAAAACTATTTCAATTGTCATTTAAAAAATGCTAATAATTAATTTAAAGGGAAAAAGTGTTGCCAGGATTAAAGTCCAAAGCCATTTTATACTCCTTAATGACCCGCTCCAAAATGTGGGTTAGAAAGCCAGGCTCGGTGGCTCGGCCTGTAATCCCGTGCCTCTGGGAGGCTGAGGTGAGTGGATTGCCTGAGCCCACGGGTTCGAGATCCGCCTGAGCAGCGAGACCTCATCTCTACAATAAATCAAAAAATCAGCCGGGTGTGGTAGCGCGTGCCTCTGGCTACTTGGAAGGCTGAGGCGGAAGGATCGCCGGAGCCCAGCAGGTCGAGGCTGTGGTGGCCGGAAGCGGCTACTCCAGTCTGGGCGACAGAGTGACACTCCAACTCAAAAAAAAAAAAAAAAAGACAGAAAATAAGCAGAAATAAAATCTCTTCAGAGTATAACCAATTAAATATATAGTCAGCCCTCCATATCCGTGGGTTTTGCATCTGTAGACTTCCTCCTGTGGATCAAAAATATTCTGGAAAAAGATGGATAGCTGTGTCATACTGAAACTGAACAGACTTTTTTCTTGTCACGATTTCCTAAACAATACAGTGTAACAACTATTTAAATAGCTCTTACATTGTATAAGATATTAAGTATTAAATAGCTCTTACATTGTATAAAATATTATAAGTAATCTAGAAATGATTTAAAGTATGTAGGAGGATGTACATAGGTTGTAGGCAAATACTACACCATTTTATAAAAGGAACTTGAGCATCCATGTATTTTGGTATCCTCAGGGAGCCTGGAACTAATTCCCCAAGGAAGCTGAGGAACGACTGTACCTAAAAGTAGAATGTCTTTGCTTTTCCTACATTTCCATATTTTTAACAACTTTGCTCCTACCAATAACCCTAAGTCAACCAGTAAAATTTCAAATTCTATTAACAGCTTAAAAATCTTTATTCTCTGCCAGATACTCTGATCATCACTCATCTGCCAAAGAAAATGACAACCCAGTACTTTTCCTCTTTTTAACCAAAAAAATAAATAAATAAAATTAACTCTAAAGAAAGCTATAACCCTTTGTACTTGGATGTCCCCTCCATCATAAATCTAGCAAACCACTCAGATGTCCCCTCTCAGGGGACAAAGAGAGATTGCTGGTGATCATACAAACTTATGCCAGTATAAATTTTTTAAAACGTATGTTTCCCTAAAGTTTCCATTCAAATTGCACAAAAAGCAAAGAGATGGAATAGTTACTGAGATATACATTTTTAAAATCAGCTGGCATTACGTAGAAAGAGAATGTTGAAGTGCTCTCACAGTGGTGCACAAATTGAACAATAAACTACATTTTATTAATGTAGGAGGACGAAAACAAGACTGCATTATTTGCTTGAATAAACAAATACTAGGTAGAAGACGTCAAGTAAGTTACTACCGCACAACATGTATCAATGTACCTGCAATGCATGTCGGTGACTATTTCACATATTATCACACATTAGAAAAATATAAGATATAAAGTTTTGATTTTTTTTGTCATAAATTCCTCAATGTCCAAAATTCCATTATAAGTCAAATATCATTACAATAAAATAATTGTTTCCAATGCTATACTATTTAATATGAAATGATTTGTTTTTCACTATTTCGTAAAAAAGTACAGTTGAATTGCTAGTAGGTGATCTGCAAGATGTCTCTGAGTGCAAAGGGTTAGTATCCTTTTAGATATTTCTCTAATACATCTATTTAATATATCAAAGAACTATATTCTAGTTATTAATAATGTCATTTCTTACCAGGATCTGCTAACCCAGTGGTCTCTAAGAGTATGTAATCAAATTTCCCCTTCTTCTGCATCAAATTCTCAATAGCTCTAAGGCCATTGTCCCTGGAGAATACCAAAACATAATTTACAGTTGATTACCTGAATGTGTTTAAGTGATCATTAGAAACATTTTAAATATATTTGACATTCCAAGACAAAAATGTCTAAATACTAAGCTTTTAACAATATATTTACCAATAGAAAACAACAGATATGCCCTGATAAGTAAAAAAGAAACAACACATATAAGTCAATATTTTAGTTTTATTGAAACTAAAAGCATAAGAAACTTTATCTGACTAAAGTTAGTATGTTAATTTTAAAGTTTTATGCAAAAAAATCAACATCCAAAATAATGATGAAACTTACTAACTATAGTTTAGAATAACAGCTAAAAGGACACTCATTTTAATGTCTTTTTTTCTTATCAAAAGTGAACAAAAATATTTTACAGAATACATTTTGGTTGTTCAAGAAAGTCTATTATGATTATTCTTAATACATTTGATGCAAAGTCACACACTTAAGGTAGTAAATAATGTAGAAGAAATTTAATTCACTAGAATACACCAAATTAACAAGCATTAATTTTCATAATTCATTTAATAAATATGAGTCAATACTAGGTGTCAGGTATTATTCTAGGACCTAAGTAGGTGAGTAAACAAAACAGACATTGTCCTAGGAAACTTAGCCATAACCAATAGAACATAATGTAAGGTTTTTCTCTTTATAGTAATTTATTTTTGTTTATAGAAAATGGAATATTTGGAAATAAACGTAATGACATTAAGTTCATTAAATTCAGAATCATTTTTTTATATATGGAGTGAGACTTTCATGTACCACAGAGATTATCAATTAAGTAAATCCTGACATCAACAACAATAAAAAATTCAGCCGGGCTTGGTGGCTCAGCCTGTAATCCCAGCACTTTGGGAGGACGAGGCAAATAGAATACCTGAGCCCGTTGGTTCGAGACCAGCCCGCACAAACTTGGTGAGATCTTGTCTCTACAATAAATCAAAAATTAGCTGGGTGTGGTAGCGCACACCTGTAGTTTCGGCTACTTGGAAGGCTGAGGCAGAAGGATTGCTGGAGTCCAGCAGGTCAACACTGGGATGGCCATGAGTGTGCCACTGCATTCTAGCCTGGGCGACAGAGTGAGACTCCAACTCAAAAAATAAAAAATTCAATGAAAGGACCAAAAAGCATTGGAGCACACAGAAAAAATGAGATAGAAACACTTTAAGATAATATTTCCTAGTAAGTTTATTTTCTATTTGAAAATACAATGACGCAAACTATATAAATTCAGTTAAGTTACACAAGAAAATCAAAGCTGGAAATATAATCGATAAACACTTCTAGTCAATCAACAAGCACACAGTAAACACATTCCTCACTTCACTGAACAGCAGAGGCAACCGTTTCTAAGTTCCAGCCATTCTTCATAGAGCTCTCCACCTTGGCTGACAGCTAAGGATTTCTCCACAGCACTTCCTAGAATAATTAACAAGCAGCACTCTTTAGATTATGTTCACTAGCCAACCAGAAACAAAAATGGAGTACACGAAAATGGAGTTCTCAAAGCAGAAACTACATTTTATAACTTTTATTGTTCCATTTATTCATGCAACCTCAATATTTAAGGAATGATAGATTATTTTAGTTTTTATTTCCATCTTTATGAGGCTTTAAGCCCCCAAAAAGGCAAATCCAAAACAAATAAACATATCTACTTCTTCTTTAGGCCCCTTACTTGTCTACTCCCATTTTTAGTAAAGCAGTCATCTTGAATGCATTTTTTTCTAGTCCATGATAAACTTTCTAGATAGACTAGTATGTTTTATATACTGATTTGAGTCAGAGTCTCATTTTGTTGCCCAGGTTGTAGTGCAGTGGTAGCTCACAGCTACAGCAGCCTTGATTTTCTGGGCTCAGGCAATCCCTCCACCTCAGCCTTCCAAGAAACTGGAACTACAAGTATGCACCACCATGCTCAGTTAATTTTTATTTATTTATTTATTTATTGTAGAGACAAGGTCTCACCAAGTTGCCCAGGCTGGTCTCACCCTTGGGCTCAGGCAATTCTCTTGCCTCAGCCTTCCAAAGTACTTGGATTACAGGCATGAGCCACCACGCTAGGCTGTATACCGGTTTTTGTATATCCTCTGACGTCTTAAGAAAGTACCTCATCTATTGTTTTCGTTTCATCCAAATTGTTTGTTTCTTTTAAAAAGACCACTCAGTATTTCTAGTATGAGTAAAGCCCTAGTTCATTTTGAAGAAGTTTTCTGGCCAGTGTATCATGTGCTCATTTAAAAATTTAACTTCAAGTCAAATATACATCAGTTTCCTAGAAATGCTTAAAAAATAAAGCATATTTGAGATGCTTGTTATCATATAAGAATTATTTTAAATTTCTTGCTTTTTCTCCAGTAAAGAAATATACCGCAGCCAGGGAAGAGTTCTAAATGTACAGTAAAGCAAATGCCTCCCCATCCCCCAAAAACTGAATCGTTTTTCATTTATACCTTTTTTGGTTATATTTCAGCTAGGTGATGAAAAAGCTTTTAAAGGAGTTGCTACAGAATTCAGACTATGTAGCACATTAATGAAACATGAAAGTAATGAGAACACTGTGAAGGACAAAATTGTGAAAATGATCCAAAAAAATGAAAAAAAAAGTAAGTAATAATAAATAAAATCAGTATAAATTAGATTAATTAATAAGAAGTTAGAAGAAAAGACCGTTATTAGGCTTTTTGCCTAAAAGCATTTTTCTCTTTACTGAAAACAGAAATCCAGTGTTAATAGGCTTTCCATCCTGTTCATAAAATCTAGCTCTTCTGCTTGTTTACAACTGAAAAAGTGTATATTTTAAGAAATATTCTAACAACAGAAATTATGTTTTGGGGTTAAAAGTAAGTTTTTATTAAAATTCATACTTTTGAAGAAAAACTACTATAAAAGTAATCAAAATGTTGTGTCTAACACTGCTGAGTAGATTTTCTTTTTACCACAGTTTAATATTTAAGACAAAAAGCTAGCAGGATGCAGTGGCTCACATCTGTAATCCCAGCACTTTGGGAGATGGAGGTAAAAGAATTGGTTAAAGACCAGCCTGGACAACTTGGCAAGAACTTGTCACTACAGTAAATCAAAAAATTAGCACAGCATGGTGCCACACGCCTGTAGTTCCAATTACTTGGAGGACTGAGGAGGAAGGATTGCCTGAATCTAGCAGCTCAAGGCTGCTGTGGGCGTGGGCGTGAGCGTGCCACTGCACTCCAGCCTGCATGACAGAGTGAGATTCCCACTCAAAAAAAAAGACAAAAAGCTGAGAAGTTAAGCACACATATTTTCAAGATAATTTAAAGTACTTGAGGATGGAGACCATATGTTTAACTTATTTTTTAAGTTTTCAGTTTTAACTGCATCGAAGATAATAAACATTGAACAAGATAAATAACTGAGGCATTTTCATTTTCCTTGAGTTGCAACAAACAATATAGTCAGTACAAAAGCAAACTTCTAGTTCCTGAAAAAACCTTCATTGTTTAGATTTTTACTTCTGGCCACATTTATTTCATGTAAAAATCTAATTTAATTCTGTTAACGTGAATTCTAAAGTTATAAAAAACATTTTTTATACAAACTGGTTTCAGTATTCCAATTCATAGTAAAAAAAAAAAAAAAGGGCACAATAGAAATTAATATATTTTTTCCAAAACCATCCACGTCCATGTGTTCACATTATAATAGCTCGCATTTTCACTTTTAAATATGGAATATCAATTCACCAACGGAATAAATTTCCCTATAAATTCTTGCAGCATGACATTTACTGAGTTTTACTTACCTTCCCCAAACTCATTTAAAATGACTGCTACTCTTTTACTATGTTGCTCTGTCAAAATATAGTTCAGAAGTGTTGTTTTCCCAGCACCTATAAAATATACTTGTTTTAAATAATAAAATTCAAAGAGTAACTTACAGGAAAAAAAGATATAGAGTCCTAATGTTTTTAATGATTTCATACATTATTTAAATACGGTATAGAAGGTCCCAGAGGAAAAGATTACTCATTGAAAACTATTACAAAATGCTTTATGTAGACATAATATTTTATAACTATTTACAAATACTCCTACAAGTTGAATCAGTTTTTCTTCAACCTATTTTACACGTCCTTTTATTTTAACATACAACATTAACTAGACACAAATTCAGGCTATATGGCTACTTTTAGTTTGCTTAAAACAATTTATAAAAGCTTTTATGAAATGGGGAATGGAGGTACGGAGTGTTAACAATGGAAAGTTCAGTAAAGATGAATTTGTAAAGCTACCTTTCTCCAGTAGGTGGCATATGAAACCTATTATGTTCCTCTCGAGTGGAAGAAAAACATTTGTCTTGAGCCACATACACCAATGCTCACGGAGGGGAAAAAAAGAAAACCCTATCTGCACAGTAGCGCAGAGTAGTTCAATTGTATGACTACAGCACTAATTTATTCTTTATCTAAAATTTTTTTGCTGGTTGTTTCCAGCATTTTGCTATTATAAACAGTGCTGCTAAAAAGTCTTACACATAACGTGCACGTCTTCTGAAATACATTAAGCTTTCTAGTGCATAACTAGGAGGGATTTACTGAGTATTAGGGTATCATTATCTTCAACATTCTTAGGTCATATTCCTTCAAAAGCTTTTTAAGAGATGAAGGCTTATGTTTAGAGTGCTTTAGGAGGCTTATCACAAAAGCGGAAAGTACAAAATATAAGGGAGAGACTTGAAGGAGATATGGGAATAAGGAAATTCTTAAAACCAGTCTAAGCATGAGACAGAGGCCCTAAACCTGAGTGTATCACAGAGCAGTGACAGTGAAAACTGAAAAGAAGAAGTAGATGTAAGAAACATTCTAATAGAAGACTTATTTGAGCTTAATAATTATTCATAATCTTCCATATTATGAAGAAAAAGTCTTTAAGACATAGTTCATTCATTCAGAGGTATCTACTATGGACCAGATTTATGCTGGACCTTGGTGAAAAGTGAACAAGCCACAGAGAAATACAGAGAAATACTCTCTGTCTTCATGGAGCTTAGAAATACTAAGGGAAGGGGAGACGGAGGGGAATTCAGATGAACAAGGAGGCAATTACATCATACGACGACATATTCAGTAGATGTACAAAATGCTATGGAGAACCTAAAAGGACATCTAGTGAGAGGAGTAACAATAAAATGTATGTATTCCGAGGGGCTAAAATACTTGGCACCTTTGAAGTAAAATGAGTTCAATGTGCTGAGCCACAGTGTGGCAGGCTGGAGAAGTTGGCACGTTCCAAATCCTCTGTGTCCTGGTAATTCATGTCAAGAATTGGAACTTTAATCCAAATGGAAGCCACGGAAGAGTGTGACACAATCAGACTAACATTTATACAGAACATTAGGGCAAACATGAAAATAATAAATTAAAGGGGTACAAGACAAGATTAGTCAGAAGGATTTTAGAGTATCCCAAGTGGGTGAGATCATAAGAACAGAAGGATTCGAGGGGATGGTAATATCTGCAGTATGGGACATGTTAAGTTTGGGACATTATTTAGGACATCAAAATAGAAACTACACAGATGTGAAGTTAAAGATGGACAAAAGGGACAGGAGCAGGAAGTCATACAAAAAAGTCAGAGAAGTAGGTGCAAAAATCAGAAGAAAAATGTAATAGAAGCCAATGGAACAGTGTTTCGAAAAGAGAAAATGTGAAAGTATCCCCTAGATTCAGCAACAACAAAGTTGCTGGTATTAGTCCTCACTACAGAGCTTCAGAACATTCTCTCCAGTGCTCTAACCACCAATGAGCAAAATGGAGAAGGCCAGAGGGGCAAGTTTTGAAATATACTGTTTTGGGCAAGGAATTTAACTTCTCAGGAGAGCAGCCTCTGAATAACAGTGGGGAAATGCCAAAAATTAAATTCCTTTATAAAATCAGTCCTGAGTAAAAATGGGGATAAACTTACAGATGACAAAGAAAAAAAAAGGAAAATGCCAATCACTTAACTCTTATTTTTATATAAAAGGCTCACACGCATGGCAAGTCTGTATTTGTCTCTAACAGCACCTAGGAATGACATTATTTCCCAATAGAATCACTTTAGTTACATTTAACTTTTTCCCACTTTTAATATAGTCATATATTTGTTCTAGCGCTTCTATTTGACTGTAAGTTTTAAAAATAATATTTCCCAAACTCTTCCGATGAAAACCTCTAGTGTAAGCGCATAAAATATTCCACGTTCACAAACCGGTGGTTTCAAGTATCCCTGTACACTACTAAACATCCTTAGTCTGAGGAATAATCTTGGAGGGCAGAGATTTTATTCTCACTTTCTCCCACAGTGGTTTGCAAATAGATCTTTTTAAAAAAAAAAGTTTAACATAGGATACTTCCCACAAATGGCTAGAAGAGTCTAGCTCGTGGAGAAAGGGAATCCACTGAGGAATGCCTCACATGTGTCGGGCATGATAGTGACAGAACGTCCTTTGATAGCAATAGGTGTTTCCTGTCCCATCCCGCGGATGAGAAAACAAGCTCACACAGGTGACAGGTATTAATTCCATTTTCAGGTGAGGCATATGAGCTTCAGAAAAGCAAGATAACTTGTCAGAGGACAAACGGATAAGTAGGGGGCGAATCCGGGTTCCAAAGCCTTGTTTCAAAGGCTAACTTTGAAAATCACTTGAGAAATGTGAATCTAACGCAGAGGGGCCTGGGCGTCATTAAATCCAGACGACCCGTACGAAAAGCATGGCCCAGCCCTACCTCAAAGACACTTGCTCTCGGCCAGGAGGCCCCGATACCTAAGCAGAAGAGGCACCGGCAGCCCCCCAAATCCCAGGACACCAGAGTTCACGGCATTTTCTGACCGGGATGGTTAGTTACCTAAATACCCGGTGATAATTGTGACTGGGATCTTGGCGCCGAGCCCAGACTCTTCCTCTTCCTCGCTTTGCTTCGTCTCAATGGGAACCAGTTCGGGACAATCCTCCTCTGCAGGCTCCTCTTCCTCATCCACAGCTCCAACAGCCTGTAACATCATGGCCTGCAGCACGTTATCCCCTCCAATTCAGGAGCCGGAACTAAGGAGCCGAACCTCAGCCGCGCACGCCGAGCATGCCACGCCACGACTTGACGTCATCACACCGCGACCGTACCTCCGCCCGATCCTGCCCCGAATACCTGGGCTCTGACTGAGGACCGCCTCGCCCTTAGCCACGCCCCGAGGGGAGGTGACACGCCCCTACAGAATCTGGGGCACGCCCCCGGGGTGTGCTTTCTGAACCTGAGCTAGGCTGCGCGGAGTTGTTAGAGCGTATTGACCAGCCCCACCCTGAGGCTGTCACTGCCTGGAGGCTGCTGCCTTAATAGCTACTGAGTGCTGGTTTGGTTGAGGCCTGGCTGCTTGGAATCTGGAGTAGGTAACCTGACCTAACCAGTTCCCACGTGGCGTAGCCTTATCAGCTCGACATTTTTAGTCTCATTTTTCTAAATGTTTAATTCATGGGGGAAAGAATGAAAGGTTATAACACTGCAATGTTGGTTGTAATTTTTATGCCTCAAGGATAACCAGTAAAATTTTTAATAATTACGTATTACATATGTATATTCAGATTTTTGCAGTGTTCATGAATTATTTTTGTTTACTTTTCTTTCTCATTACTATTTATTTGGACCTCAAGTAACCTGAGTTCATTAATCATATTTGTTGATTGATGACACTCTTATCAACAATCCATGGATAGTTCTCCTTTCTATTTATATACAGATTTACAATGAACTCCTTTCACCTGGTCCCCCAACCCAAGAACATTATCGATAAATTACACCTACCTATGTTTCCCTCCCCTATTCCAACCCACAGCCTGTTACATAAGATAGTAACACAATCATGAATTGGTTCTGGATTGCTGATCATTCCCTCTTTTCTTTTTAGTTTTATTACATACACTGTATATGTACTTAGACAAGATTTTATTTAATTTTACTTGTTTTTGGCTTTAAAAAATTTCATAAAAAAGGATACTATACAATATATAATCCTCCTGGGGATTGTTCTATTTTTCAGCTTCACCTGATGCATTATATTCTATTGTGTAGCTATTCAGAAATGTATTTATTCGTGTCCTGTCCATTATTTTCAGGTTTTGCTCTTATGAACAGGACTGCTATGAACATCTATCCTGGTATATATGTACTTTACTTTCTCCTGTGTGACTATGCAAGAGTAGACTTGCTGGGTCTTGAGTTATGCAAATGTTACACTTTACAAGGGAACGCACAATTATTTTTTTCAAAATGTTTGTATAAATGTATACATTTCCCCAACAATGTATGAGAGATCATTGATCTATGTGTCAATATTATTAGCTATTAATGCTTTTACTAATCAACTGAATTCAAAAGAAGTCTTCATTGTGGTCTTCATTTGCATTTCCTTGATAACTAACAAGGTTGAGAATCTCTTCATGTGTCTTGGCTATATTTAATTATTATTTCAAACCTATGAAGTGTTATCCTCCTTTCAAATATGAGGCACAGAGAGTTAAATTATATGACCAACTTAGGTCAAAAGCCAGATTTTTTACTACTATCTTAATGCCAAATAAATTGTTGATTTCTTCCTTCCTTCTCTGTAATTCCCTATAAAATATTCCATTAGCTCTACTGATATGGATAAATCTTCAAACTATTCTTTGATGTAACTACCACATATATTGTAGGAGACGCATAAAGGAGATGGATCCAAGAGTGGAAATAAGTTTAATTATATTATAGTCACATATTCACTAAGCCTGAAAAATCAGGGCTTGAATAAGAAATGAGACAAATACCCAAGGCCTAGGGTTGAGTTCACTTTACGCTCTACCAGAGGAGAGCAGCTATAATGAACAGCCCCAAATAGATAGCATTAAGTCCTCAACACAAGGGTTCACAAGGTTTTGTTTCAGGAATGCTGTGGAATATGGATTTTTGTGGCAACCTAAAGAAGGCATAACATTGCACCCACAGGCAATGCACTATTCTCTTGGTGACCCTTTGGCACTGCATTACTGCCTGATGGGAAACTATTACAGCCCTGACCACCTGCTTTTACATATTATTCAAGTAAGTTCTTACAGATTCCCTTGCATGGCTCTGGTTGAATGTTGTTCTAAAATCTGTCATCTCTCACAAAGAGGAAATTGTGACCTATGAGGCCAGCTCAGTCAGGGTAGCCAAAAAGCATTGCTGTAACAGTATGGAGCCGCAGTTAGAGCAAAAGGAGTTTCACACATTAGTCAAAAGATAAATGCACCCCAAATGTCCATGAGCTGATGGATAAACAAAATGTAATGAAAGAATAAACAAAATGTTTATTTTCCTTATTTTTATTTTTCCATATATTTATTTCTATACAATGGAAATTTATTTGGCAATAAGCACTTTATAGTAAAACAATAATAATATTTGCTACAAGCCAGGTATGGTAGCTCATGCCTGGAATCCTAGCAGTTGGGAGTCCAAGATAGGCAGACTGCTTGAACCCAGGAGTTCAAGACCGGCCTAGGCAACATAGTGAAACCTCATCTCTACAAAAAATCACCTGGATGTGGTGGTTTAGTCCCAGCTACTTAGGATGCTGAGATAGAAGGATCGTTTGAACCCAGGAGGTCAAGGCTGCCATAAACCATGGTTGTCATGATCATACCACAGCACTCCAGCCTGGGCAACAGAGTAAGAGCCTGACTCAAAAATAATAACAACAATAATAATGCTGTAAAATGAGTGAATCTCAAAAACATTATGTAGGTGAAAAAAGACATTCACAAAAGACCATATTCTGTATAATTCTATGTATATAAAATATCCTGAATAGGCAAGTCTATAGAGACAGAAAGTAGATAAATAGTTACCAGGAGCTGGGCATTGGGGAGAGATAGCTAGTACAATGTTATTTTTTGGGGGGGTGGGTGTTGATGAAAATGTTCTAAAATTGATTTCAGTGATGGTAACACAACTTTGTGAATATACTAAAAACCATTGAGTTGTACCCTTTAAATTGGTCAATCGAATCATATGTGAACTTTATCTCAATAAAGTTGCTATTCTTTTTGATTTTTTTAAATTTTAGATTCAGGAGGTACCTGTGCATGCTTGTTACATGGACATATTGTATAGTGGTGTGGACTGGGTCTCAGGTGGCCCATTCCTCATACAGTGAACACTGTACTCAATGTGCAATTTCTGAACCTTACGCCCCCTTCCCACCACCCCTCTTATTGGTGTCCCCAGTGTCTATTATTTCCATCTTTGTGGCCATTTAGCTCCCGCATATAAGTGAGAAAAATACAGTGTTTCATTTTCTGAGTTAGTTCACTTAGGATGATTATCTCCTGCTTCATCCATGTTGCCACAAAGGTTATGATTTCATTCTTTTTTATGACTGCATAGTATTCCATGATGTATATAAGAGGAGGGACCCAAAAAACCCATAAATCATTTATTAAAAATTGTGTATTTAATCTTAGATGTTTAAACTTCAATCACCTTCAATGTACTCTCCATTGGATGCACTACACCTGTCGAGATTTTCACTGCTCAAAACAGTTTTTTAACTTGTCAGTTTTGATACCTTTTGGTGCTTCTGCCATTTTTTTGGTGGCATTGTTGTTTTACCTCTTACACATCAGCAAAATGTTTTCCCTTGAGATCAGGTGAATAGAGAGGTGGGATACAGGGGTCATGACATTTGGGGTCAAAAACTGCTGAACGCTCAGTGGTGTGGGCAGATGCACCTGTAAATCACCCATCATGAATTAGGAAAACACATTGAAAGAATCTCCCAAAAAAATTCACTGAGGCTGAACGCAGCCTCTCTCAACAACACTAACTGGTACGCTGATGCCAATGGGTTCCTAGAACATTTACCCAATGAGGGAAATCTGTACTACAAAAGGCCCACATTCCAAAAAAAAAAAAAAATTCAATTTTTTAGGGAGGTTCCCCTTATATACCACATTTTCTTTATCCAGTAAGTCGTTGGTGGGCACTTAGTTTAGTTCCATGATTTAATTATTGTAAATGCTGCTAGGAACATGCATATACTGATAGCTTTTCCTTTGGGTAGATCCCTACTAGTGGGATTGCTTGGTTGAATGATAATTCAATTTTTATATCTTTGAGAACTCTCCACACTGTTTTCCACAGAAGTTGAACTGGTTCACAATTCTACCAACAGTGAATGGTGGTTCCCTTTTTTCTGGAATCACACCAACATCTGTTGTTCTTTGGTTTTCTAATAATAGCCATTCTGACTGGTGTGAGGTGAGATCTCATTGTGGTTTTAATTTGCATTTCTCTGATGATTAGTGATGTGTTTATGTGTTTGTTGGCCACTTGTGTGTCTTCTTTTGAGAAGAATCTATTCATGTATATTGCCCGCTTTTTGGTGGGATTTTTTTTTTTTTAGATTGTTATTTGGGTTCCTTGTAAATTCTTAATATTAGCCCTTTGAGGCATAATTTGCAAATATGTTATACAATTCAGCAGGTTTTCTGTTCACTCTGTTAATTATTTATTTTGTTGTTCAGGAGCCTTTTTGTTTAATTAAATCCTATTTGTCTACTTGTTTTTGTTAAAGTTGTTATTCTTAAAAGAAAAAAACTAATAGCCCATCTGTGTATTAAAATGTGGGAGTGCCAGTGTGCATTTGTAGAGAAACACAGTCTTCAGCAGTTTCAAGTCCTGACTTCAGGTGTGAATATAAAAATTACAGCTTAATAAAATTTTTCCTTTAGTCTGTTTCCATATTTCTCTTCAGCAAAACACCAATCCATGGATTCTGTGGAGTTCTGCCATTTTTGTTTCTGACTCTAGTAACTCAACAGAATTTAGTCAGCATAATCTGAAAAGGAAGGAGTTTTTATTTACTCAGATATGTGATTTGTAATGTCTGCTCTTCCAGGAGAGCTGAGTATGAATTTTTTTTAACTTCTCATATAACACAGGAATTACCAATTTTATTCATTCTGAGTGAGCGATACTTTGTTGTCATTGCTATTTAATTCAAAAACATTTTTTAAATAAATAAAAAAATTCCCAAGTATAATATGGTAGAATCTATTAGAGCTTCTAATGTAACTTAAAATGTTCTCCTCACTTACCTTTGCTATTTTGTTTTATCTTATTCACTTTATGGTAAAACAACAACAATAATAATAATGTGTTGAG